TATTTTGAGTTATGCATATATATGTATATATATGATCCTCACACACACAATTAAACATTGAAAAGCCCTGAAAATGTCACTATCATTAATTCACAAAATCATGTTCTAGGAGCCTCTCACCTAATAAAGTTTTACTTCACATTATTGGAAAAAAAAACAAATTATTGAAAGATTTTTTTTCCCTCCAATTTTAAATGTGAGCCAAAGGGAAAATAAGTCTTAATATCGATGATGGCTTATTTAAAATGAATAAAAAAAGACTTGTTTTTGTTTCATTATTTATGTCACCTAACAATTTGGGGCTAAGTTTCGTCATTTATGATGCAAGGACTTAAACAAGAAGAATTTTAAGATTCTTAAAGTCAGTGTGAAGGTAGAAAAGAGGTCTAAAGGAAAGTGAAAGATTAATATGCTCTGTTTAACATCTGATATAAGTTTTTAAGCCAAATTTAATGCTCAAAGTCAATTTTTAAAAAGTCAATTCTTGTAATTTTCCTTTCAGAAAAAAGCCAAGAGTCTCTCCATCAGAAACAAACTTAATTTGTATAACTTCGATGGAGATCAGAAATAAGATCTTCAGGGAAAGTGTGAGGTACAATAATTATCCAATGGCAAAAGAGTCACCTAATTAAACATTCTAAAATCATAAAAGAGAACTGGAATTTTCAAAAAATCTCCTCTCTACATAATGGAAAACATTTTCTAATTTTTTGCGAGGGCAGGATGAGCCACTTTTTTATTACATATGTATCTTTACATCATATATCCAATTTAATTAACATTTTTGAAATTAAAAAAATAAGTAGCCATATGGAAATTTGAATGAATGATTATTTTTAAAGTAGAAACAGTGAATCGCATATTTAACCAAAAATTTATACTGGTAGTTCAAATAGGTTCCACTTTATTTCAAAATCTCCCTTTCAAAAGTTACCGGAAGTTGGTACAGCGCACGCTGCTGAACCATTCACCAAATAAGAATAGAGATTTCATTTTGTCTATCCAAACAGCAAGCATGTAGGGTTTAAAGCAAGAAATTAGTAAGTAACCCTCTGTTTAGTTGTGCTTTTCACCTCCACGACTAAGTCATCGCTAAGATTCAGGAAGTCCCTAAATCTTTTCTCTCTTTCAGACCTTAGGGAGGCCCAACACCAGGCAGTCTCACTGCTGCCGGCTGGATAGGGTTGGGGAGCAGAGAAGCTTGGGCGGCTGCGAGGTGGGCTCCCAGTTCCCCTAGGGACCCTCCTGAGGCCCCTGGGAAGCTAGTGGGGTCTGTGTGTCTTATACCTAGATAACTAAGTCTACCTTTGTTGGTTGGTTTGCATATGCAGATGTCGTTGCAGCGTTGAGGAGGACTGATTCCATTTGGCAGGGGTTCCTGAGTTAAGGAGGAACCCCTCTTCCCCTCTTCCCCACTCTACAAGTGCCCAGCGGAGGACAAGACTCAGGAGCAGCTCTGCCCCGTGACACCTGAGATGTGCTCAGGGAGCTCCAGCCTCTCCGCCCTCTGAGACTCCGTGCATAAACACTCTGTTACCAACCTAACAGCTTTTCACTTATCATTTAGCCATAGCTCAGCACCCACCTCAGAAGGACAGCATGAAATTTAATGAGACTGGGTCTACAGGATACCATGGCTTCTTGGAAAACAGACAGCCCATAAATGGGGCACTAAATATTGAAATGATCTCCTGAGTTTTGCTTTCAGATAACAAAATCTGTTAAAAAAAAAAAAAAAGCTCTAATAGCTTCAAAATCAGAAATCACTAGATGTTTGCTTTTATGTTTTCCTTTTCGTATTTATTCACCAAAATGCACCTGGGAAAACTTAATTATGTGGCATTGATGTTATATTTGTATTTTTCTTATGTTCGTAATTACATACTCATCTACACCATCAATGAACACTTTGAGAGACCCTGTTGCACGACCCCAGGCCTGAGATCGGAAGAAAGGAGGGGGAAAGATCTGACTGGTCCTTACGGAGATGCTCAGTGCAGATGGGAAAGGCGAGTGATGCCTTCTCTCGTGCGTAATTCTGGCACTGTATTTGCATTTACTTATTACTTTTTTTTTCTCCCGGTAACAGTAATAAGAGCCACTGTTTAAAAGATGGTGCAGAAAAGGTTCTATCACAGAAAATGCTCAGAAATCACAAAACGTCCAACTACGAATGTTCCTTTACAACTGCTTTATACAGATTTTACCAAATCCCAACTTGAATCCAGATGAGTAGGAACAGGGGCACGTGACACCAGCAGAGGGCACCAAGGGAGCAAACCACGCCCACCCCACGTGAACAAGCCGTCGCCGGGGCTGCTGGAAGTATCATCGGACGCTCTGAGGAGCACTGAGCTGCTGCTGAGCAACTGAACGTCTGTTCTTTATGGCAGGCTCACACCAGAGCTGCTGGGAGCTCTCGCAGAGGTTTACCAGCACAGGCGCGGTTTTCAGGGATGAGCTGCACACCAGCGTTTCACCTCCCTCGTTTCAACAGTGTTTTCTGTCCATGTTCCTGAGCTCAATGCAGGAACCAAAAACTAAGTCCCATTCCGGCATCCATCCTCCCACTGCTGGCATGGCACAGTTTATTATCCTCTCTAGGTCGTGAGACTGTGGATAATGATGCTGCAAATCCGCAGTGATGAGAGCTCGACTCGACTTAAATGATGTTTGGAGTTATTTGCTCTCACCCTGTGATTTTTAATGATTCACAGAAAATGCAAAATGGTTGCTTTTCAATCCTCTTTTGGGAAATGATGCCTCTGGACTTCACCAGATGTTGGTGCCCAGCGCTGAGTTTATACTTCCAGTTTGGAGCCACTTATAAAAATTGCTCATGAAGTTTCATAAATCCAAGACCATCTGAAGATAATTAGCTGGTCTGCAGAAAGGGAATCCATTATGTAGAAGGACGGACTGAGACAGGCATCCATAAGGTGAATTTAAATAACATTCTAAATGCACCTAAAGAGAGCATGGTCTTAGTGACCAGTAAAGCAGTCATGTCTTTAAGAATATTCTCATACACACACGCACACACGCGTCTCCCACAGGCGCACACACAGGCACGCATGCTCACAAGCACACAGGAAGGGTCAGAGTCTGTCGTTCATCCCAGTATTTCCAAGATGCTGAAAGTGAACACGACGCGTGGACTTAGGTCAGGCGTCTGACAGAGAGTCTCAGCCTCTTTGAACCTCTGTTTCCTCAAGTAAAGTAGGGGCAGTGATGTCTTCCTGGCGGGGCAGCTGTGTATATGAAATGAGCCCGTGTGCGTCGGATGCTCAGCACCGCTCCTGCCGCCTGAGAGGCGGTAACGGTGACTGGTTATAACCTCGCTGCTCTGTGGTTGTCTGGGGAATACAACTATTTCAGGAGCCGCTGAGACCGTGATCTCTTCATGTGCGTGTCAGAATTTTATTTAAATTCACCTTGTTGATGCCTGTCTTCATCCATTCATCTATATAATGGATTCATCTTTATGCAAACCAGCCAATTACCCTGAACTGGTCTTAGATTTACTAAGAAAAAGCCACAAAAATAAACCAACGACCAATAAATTACATGAAAAATGTGCACAAATTCTTCAACAATCATGGAAGAGAGGTTAGCATGATGCTGTGTTTCCTGTCCAGGAGACAGCCCCATGCCTGGAATGTTAATAGAATTTATTACTACGATGGAAAATGTTCTGTGTTTCTTTTTAATAATTCTCTGAGCTTTAACTTTTCAAAAAATGTAGATAACTTCCTATAATAAAAATAATAATAATGCCCTACATCTGCTTTGATGGTAAAACTGCCTTGAAAATATTAACTTCTTATGTTCTGTTAGAATTCAAATCAAATCAAGTCCGCGAAGCCTGGGAGAGGTGGCATGCGCACAAGGACAGTGTGAGCTGTCCTCCCTTGCAGCCTCTTCAGTGCCCTAGTCCCCCTGCCCGTGCGTCCATCAGTGACCACCTGCTAACCAGCTGTGAAACATCAGTAAACATGCCATCCAGTCCTTCCTCCAGCACATCCACAAGATCGTCATGACACTCCCAAATAACCTGCTAAACTAGAGGGATGTTTATGTTATAGTTATTACAGTTTCTGTCTAATCTTACCGTTTACATATCTATCCAGACTTTAATCTTCTAGGAAATAATGTGACCTGCATCATCCCAGAAGGCAGCCACTGGTTCAGGGCTTACCCACACCTCCAGCGTCAGGTAAGGTTAGGAAAAGATGCTCATACAGCAGCCAAGGTGAGTGAACACGTGGTCCTGGTATCAGCCACAATCAGGCTGGGGTTATTCTTACCAGCTGTGCAGAAAAGGAGACAGATGACCAGAGAGGACACTGGTCAGGAAGGGAGGGACGGCCGCCCTGCTGGGCTGGGACACTGACTCACATTGGATCTAACCCTTAAGTGAATTGGAAATTACTGCCTTTTTAAAATCTTTGATTGTTTTACATTATTCTTTGCCTCATTACTTCAAAAATTTCTACTTTTTTCCCCCTTTATCCACTTCCAGTGATATCAGAACAGATGTTTCCTCAATATTTTTGCTTCTTCTCCACAAACTCACTAACTAAACTCTGGCAAGTGAGGCTGCTTTAGATTTCCCCACAGAGAACCTTTCTCTGAGGTCACCACCGTCCTGCTTATTGCAGAGGGTCATTCTCCTGGGTCTGGCTCACCACGGTGTGACTTCTCTCCTCCGCCCCACCCCCTCTCACTCCCTTCTCCTTCATTGGTTCTTCCTGTGACCTTCCTCACGTGGAGATACCCTTATTCCACAAAATCTAAATTGTCACTTCTAGCTCCATAATGCTAACAGCCACGGCACATTCGTACCTGACGGACCTCAGAGACGCCCAGAGGGCAACCCCATGTGTCATGTGTGCTTCCTTCTCCCTTCAGGAACAGTCCTAGAGACTTAAACAGCCTCGCTGTTAGGCTTCCTTCTCTCTTTTCCTCATCCTTCTGTTTATTCTCTGTTGTTGGTTTAATGGAGTTCAGCGCTCAGGGCAAACACTGTAACTGAATTAGCAGGGGCGCAAATCAAAAAGTAGCCCACCTCATTTCGCTCCCCTGGGAGGCAGTGGGGAGCGTCTCTCGGGGACCAACGCTGCTCCGCCCTCTGGAAGGCGGAGGGGAGGTGCACAGCCCACAGGAGAGGTGTGCTGGCTCCTGGTCCTTCCCACCCTGCTCCGCCCCTGTCCTCTCAGGATCAAGAAGACAGAGCCCTTCTGCCAAGCTGGGGAAGGCGACCTGGGAGCACCAGATCCCCGTGTCAGTCAACTAACATAAACACATACAAGTGCTGCCGGGAGATGAGGTGGGGCCCCCAGAGGAGGGCATTCAGGTGGACCTGTTGGGCTCATGCATGCAGGGAGGTGGGGGGCCCGGAGACAACAGGGGTTCCGCCCACATGGGGGCCACGACTGTGTGCCCGGGGCAGCAGGTAGTAAAAGTCACCCAAGGACAGGAGGCAACACCAATCACTGTGTTTTCACTTCCAGGTCCAGCCTGGAGCTGAGTATCTCATGTGGTTTCCAGCATCACCGCTCCTTGTTTCCTGGTGTGACCAATAGGAAGATTGGAAAACAAAGAATGAACATGCAATGCTCGAACAGGGTCTTTGTGTCTGTTCTCTGCGATTCCCCTGCCCTTCCTGCAATCCGAAAGTGACCTACAAACAAAAGAGGGTGTGCACTTTCCTTCCCCAGGTAGGCATTATAGCCAGTTCTCTCCTCAAAACCCCCGGGTGCTGTCAACCGCATCCATCCGTGCAAACATGCCAGCCTCACTCTCCATGTCACCCCGAGCACATCCTGTTATTTACATTGTATTTCACAACTAGAAGCTTTGGTTTATGCTGTTCCCTCTGAACTTTACGCCCTTCTTTCCAATTTATCTCTATTGAAATAGTCAGCATTTATTCCTGCATCCTTGTTTGTTTGTTTTTTTTTCAAAGAGCATTTATTTGGTCCATGCTACACAGCATGCACTGTGCCTGCCCTCAAGGGGCTAAGACTCAAGACTGGGAGAAACTTGTAAATGACAGTTCTGCATGTGCCACCTGTGAGCATTAACAAGTAAGACAGAGGCCTGAAGGGATAATGAAAAACTTAGTTTTAAATATACATAAGACCATAAAACAAGATGTTCAAAAACACAGGAGAGTGAAGGCTTTCCTGATTCAGGGTCCAGGGAGACATTCAGGCTGGCAGGAGTGACAGCCACATGGTGGGAGAGGATGTGGTTCACGTAGTGGATAAGTTCCCACCTCTCCCCCTTCCCAGCTACTCAAAAGCAAGATCCTACTGGAAGCTTGCTGCTCAATTCTGAGGACTACTTTTTACCAGACTGAGAGGGAGGTGGGCAGGAAGGACCAAGGAGGTGTGATGGGGTTTGTTACAAAGTTCAGAGACTGCTCCTGGGGGAAGAAGGAGAGAGAAGAGCAGACCAGCAGGCAGCCAAGGGGCGGGGAGTTGGGGCCAGAGGGACACTGCTACACAATTTTAAAAGGCCAACTTGAATATTACCCTTCATGCTAAACGCTCCCTTCCAGCAAAAAATGGGCACTTTGTGCGTTATTCACATGGCAACATGCTTCTCCTTCTGCCCTCAAGTCCACGTGTCTGTCCCCGCACATCCCAGTACCCAGTAGACTGGAGTTAGCTCTCCCCACTGGGGCACAGGCTCCGGGGCCCGGCGGCCCTCAGAGCACCTGCTCGTAGACAGCATCATCACCCCACACACCTGCCCGGAGATGCGCTAAGAGCTGTTCTAACGGCTTTTCTGCAAGGGGAAATCTGTCTGTCTGCATCTGTTAAAAATGTTAGAAGTATCTTTATTATATTGCATTACAACTTCTTCCTCCCTTGTTTCTTTCCCAGGAATCTGTAGAAATGTGAAAGTGTATCATTAATCATATTGAAGTCCTGAAACAAATGTTGACCACAGCATTCTGCCCAAGCCAACAAGGATTTTCAGAGTTAAAATAATACTAAGGGAACATTTCTCAAACAGAAAGAAAGATTCCAACAATTTTAGCCGTCATGTTCTATACGGATCAACAGAATCCTTCCCTTTCTTCTCCTTCAGAATCTAACCTTATAAGACTAGTGATCTAACCCGGATAATCTGCCCAGAGTGTGTAATATGTGTAAGGATATGTATGCATCTCTGGACAAGTGGTCCATGTACAGGCTGGAGACAGGTGCATGGCCACCAAGCTGTTCGTGCACAAATGCGGCAGCATCAGCAAGAAAGTTCCCCATCATCATCAGCTGTGTAACTCAGAGACCACGGAAAAGACAAGCTCCACACAGCAAGGCTTGTGACCAGGGACGCGACCCCAACAGCTGCCCTCAGGCCTCCCTTCCTGGAGGCTACTCCGGGGAGCTCAGGTGAGCAAGTGCACCTCTCAGCCTCAGGCATCCTAACTGTGTATGTATTTTTAAATCCCCAAATTAACTTTTCAGAAGGATTTCAGTTGTCTATTTGTCCAGTATCAGAATTCTTATTAGTGGAAACGGACACAGAGAGGGTCATCTTTATCAACCTCTGGTCTCAGGTGTAAACCCTTCTAGGCAAAAAGACGTAGGCTTGGAAGTTAAAATGACAAACTGTTCAATTTCACATTAGAAAATGTTTATGAAAGAGATCACATGTGCCTAATGCCCTCAATGACTTTAGAACAATAAGTTGATTCAAAAAAAATTAAACACATCAATTGCTATTATTGGATTTTACATGTTAAATCGAACTCTTATCTGGCATTGTCTGAACAATACAAACATTTATCAGTTAACATTTTTGCCTCATTAAACAGTTTCCTGGACATCATGTGGGCATTAGATGTGCTGAGTCAATTGTATTGAGAAAGAATGTATTTTTATGGCCCTTTGTCTGGCTTTTCAATCTCCCTGGCTGCTGCTAACTGGTTTCCACCACCAGCCTTTGAAATATTGATATTTCCAAGGATTCCAGCTTTCGTTTTTTTCATGTCATTCTTTCCACACCCCTAGGTCATCACACCTACTTCTATGATTTCATAAGGAAATGTACATTGGTTTCCCCTAATTATCTGACTCCAGGCCTGCCTCTCCGGGTCCCTTCTCATCTCTCACCTCATTTCTGTCACCGTCTCACCCCGCTATCACTCTGTGTTGCAGAAGGCAGAGAGCTATGCTTTCTTCCCACACTGGGAAGCAACGGTCGATTAAACAAAATAACACCATGCGTTTTTAAGCTCTTGTTTTTGTGGTAAAGGCAATCATACTTCCATTTAATCCCCGCCAATCCAAAGAAGTAGTTTCTGTTCTCTTCCAGTGAGCGAGGTTTGCAGATTGAGGCTGTTTTCCCGAAGCCACAGGACAGAGAATGGGGGAATGAGGACACCGGCCCTCTGCACTGGTGCCCACCTCGCTGAACTCAACACAGGCACTGTCCTCGGGCTGCGGTAGGAACATCAGAGCCCCTTCTGTGGACTTACACTCCAATTTGATTGTAAGTTCCTGTCTACCACTCCCTCACACACCAAATCACACACAAACAGAATATTCAAATATTCAGCCTTTGTCTTTGATCGTCAAGACTCGGATAACTGCCCGAATACATCCTGAAAGTTTATTTGCTGCCGTAATCTAATGTCAACGGGGTCAGTCAAATGAGCACCCCAGGCAACGGGGCCATGAAAAACACAGGACTACCACACAGCCGACTCCAGGTGAGGCCAGGAAGGCCACGCACACGAGGATTTAAAAACTGATTCACTCTCTCCACCCTCTTCTTGCCACTAACTGCAGGTGGTCTGGTGTAGGAGAAGGTCAGGACCTTCATTCCCAGAAAGAGCCGCCACGTGTTGTCAGATGTCTAGAAGGTCTAATTGGAAACTTCCAGCCACGGGTAGGATTTCAGAGCCTATGAAGCTACAAGTGCACCACCCCCATCTTGCGACCCTTCCTTTCCTGAAGATGCCAAGGACTTGCCAGAACTTCACCTGCTAACGCAAAGCCCTGGGGGAACACTCAGGCTTGCTCAGAGAGGCCACACCAGTACGATTTGTTCTTTCCCCCTTTGAAAGTGCATAATCAAATTAAACAAAGTCATATGAAGATCAAATGACCATTCCAGACCATATCATCTTTCCAGTATATGTGCATTAAAAATACTACTTATTCAACCAACAGAGTCACAGAGACTGAGTGGCATCAGGGTTTGCAGATGGAGACGGGCGGTCAGCATTCTGGGAACTCGTGCTTGAAGACTCAACCTTTGTATAATTTTATAGATCTCCAAGTGAGGAAGAGTGGAAGGAAAAAAATCCCAGGCATGCTTTCTTTGAGTACAGTGAACAATATAAAACAATGTGGGATATTTAGCAAATGTAAAATGATCTGTCAAGGCTGGCTGGCTGGGCTGGGGCTCACTTAGAAGAGTGGCCAGGACAGGTTAGAGACCCTGTCCTTTATCCTGCAGAGGACATGTCCTTATCACAGCATCTTTACATGAGGGGGGTTACATGATTATCCACATTTTATGTATGCAATCGTTAACTACAGTTTAGAGAAAGGATTAAAGGGGAAATATTTTAGTATGTATGCATAAATACATATAAATAAAATATTTACCATCCTTACATATCAAATATATATTCCAAATATAAATATATATATGAAATATATATACATATACCTGGTTATATATCTCATGTCCAAATACATACATATATAACCATACATTTTTAAAAAACTGGTATAAATAGTGTTTATGTTTATTTTTGGTTATAAGACTATAAAATTATTTGACTCTTTAAATCATATAAACTACCTTAACAAAGCAAAAGAATGAGGGGAGAGATATAATAAAATAGCAAAATGATGTTTTAAATTCCTATAAAATGCAAAATATCTATCTGTTAAAACATCCTACAGATGTACCACATTGCCTCAATTTGGGGGTCAGAATCACACAGAGTAAAGAGGACTTCTGAGGCCAGGCATGTGTAAATTGGTACAAGTATAACAGAGGAAAATACAGCAATATTTATCAAGAGCCTTAAAAAGTTTAAACACTCCATTTTCTAACTCCTTTCCTAAAACTGTGTCATAGGAAATAATCACACTTAGGTACAGAGATGCATAATTAATTATGTTCACAACACTATTGTTTGTAAATACTGTTATAGATTATGTAATAATCGTATTACATATTATATAAGAAATCACATAGCTAATTATATAATGTAAATTATAAATTTATAAATGTTCAATACCAGGAAAGAGAATAGCAAACTACTTCATGGCAAATTCACAGGATGAAATATTATACAGGCACTAAAATCCTTTCCTACAAGAATATGTAAAGATATAATATTAAACTGTCAGATAAGAAATGCATAAAACAATATAAAAATATGATCAAAATATGGCTCAGAAGGCTTTTTAGTCATGTCAGTCAGCTACTGCTTTCAGTCCCATTGTTCCATCAACATATCCACGGCCTCTGACTGATTACACGGTGAAGAATTAAAATGTGAAATGTGAGATGAGAGGAGGAAAAACAAGCAAGGAGAACCGAACAGCAGACACGCTGATGCCGACGCCCTAATGACGTTTGAACTGAATTTTCTGGACCACTTTACACAGGTGGATCTGGAGCGACAGCTTCTCTTCTTATGCTGTAACCTTTTATGCGTGCTTCTCCCAAGGTAAATTGTGAAAAATATATGTATGCAGCAATGGCGTATTTTTTTTTCAGTGGAATCATGAATTTCTGAATTCCTTAGTAACCAGGCCACAAACAATTACACAAAGTCCATTGTGTGTGTGTGTGTGTGTGTGTGTGTGTGTGTGTGTATGTGTGTGTGTGTCAAAATGAAAAATAATCCTAGCTAGACTGGTTTGGAAACCGGTGACTTTCTCTGAGGCATTCGCAGAGCCACAGGGTTTATGGTTCCGCTTGCACTGAATTTCTCTTTCCTTCCAAGGAACCTGATCATGACAGGACATTCTTCGTGTGAGGGATTCATTGCGCGCTTGGCATTCAGATGCTGGGAAGGACAGAAGGAGTGGTCAGTGCAGGGGAGAGGGAAGAGATGTGGGTGGGAAATCTCAAGGTTTCAACTGCACGGAAGTTTCTAGAATGATGCAGCCACATTTATATAAATATAATTATATACAATTTATATAAATGTTCCCACAGTTCCTGAACAGTAAGTAGAGAGGTTCACTAACTGGGCACTGCTCTACGCTGTCCTGGGGCAAAGCCAAATCTCAGTGACTTCCAGCAAAGGTCACTAACCTCGGTGAACATCGGCTTCATCTGTTGCACCTCATAAGGCAAGTAACAAAGTATTTGGTAAATAACTGGTGTTTGATGCATATTTGTTCCCTTTTCTTAAACTTAAGGCAGCTTAAGGAAGGTTGTGAGCTATGGGTTTTACTCACATTCCATTTATCTGACTTTTATCCCTGGGACTGTACACGTCATATATTGTGGGATAGTCTATTTCCTACAGTTTTAAAAAATTTCAAAAATGTCAATTTATTAGATCAAGAATTTAATATTTAATTTTTCACAAGTTTGTTGGTCTTTTCACATAAATAAATTTACAGCAGAAAAACATGACTCTGCCAGACTGTGTGTTCTTAAGTCTTCGTAGGAAGATGTAGACGTCTTTAACTACAAACAGTCCTCTGCTAGGCTCCCAGGCATGCTTCTCTTTATTAATCCCCTCTTAGGTGCGCCTAGGGCTTAGTATACAATAATTGCTCAACACGGTTTGTTGGAGGAACGAATGTCTGGGGCCGGTGGGGGGACCACGGAGCACAGCCAGCGAGGGCGACTCTGACGTCGCCTCCAGGTTGAGATCTCCCACCTGTCTCCTGGCCTCGCAGGGGCCCCGGCCCTGCACTTCTGCTGCCCTTCTTCCAGCTCTTCCTCTCTGGCCTCCTCACCACACACACACACGCACGCACGCACGCACGCCTGGCGGCCTCTGCCTGTGCCCTCAGAGCGCAGCTTGAATCCTGCAGCCCTTGGAGGCCCAGGACCTCCCAGAACCAGGCTGGGCTCTCCTGCACCCTGGGGGCTCCGTGATTTTCTTTTTCAACAGTTCTGTTTTTTTAAAATATGTTATCACTTAAGTAAAGATGCACTGATTTATTTACTGCTTGCCACTCGCGTCGGACCTAAGCTCTGGGAGGGCCGGCGCAGCCGCCTCCTCGACGAGCGAGCCCCACGCCCGCGCGGACGAGACAGGCGGGGCCTCCTGCCCGCGACCCGTCGCAGCCCAGCCCAGCGTGCTTGCCCGCTCATCACTGCTGCGTGCGTGGCCCCAGGCCTCTCCGACAGTCCAGCTTTTATTTTCTGAGTTGTAAGTTTAAATTAACCATGTTTCGGTTTAATTTTAGTAACAAAGATTATTCTCTGCTCAAATGTTTTTAAACCAGCACCGTGTGCAAACAGTAAGGCGCAGCAACATACCCAGTGACGTGGGGAAGCACGGTTTCGTGTCGACTCTCCGCTGTCCCTCGAAAACATACTCGGCAAGGAAATCGTTCCTCTCTGCTGGCGGAACCCCTGGCAGAGTCTCTGTGCACTTCTGCGTGTGCAGAGGCAAGAGACAGGCTTACAGTCATTGTATGTTGCAAAATACTGCCACTGGAACCCATAGGGAGAGGCGTTCTGGCCAGAATGAGCTCGGCGCCAGGTCTCCCCGTCCCGCAAGGTTTAGGCGAGAAGCCTGCGGGGCGGAGGTCAGCCTTTTGCCCCACGGGGCTGCAGCCGGTCCTCCGGCAGCTGGTGGAGTGTGAACGCTGGTTCCTGGAGAGGCCTGAGTGTGGCTGGGGCCACCTCCCCCCTCTGGGGACACAGGCACGGCCTCTCGAAGGCTCCCTGCTGCCCACTCCAGCCTTGGCTCCCCTCCTACACCGCAGCCTCTCTCCTCTGGGGGCCCACTTGTCATTCTTCTGCAGTCCCCGGCTCCCAGCCGAAAGTGTCCCGTGGGGTCTCCTGGACACCTGGGTGAGGGGACCACACCGACCCAGGTCTGTCCCTTGCCTCTGTGAACACACCGCTTGCACCCTCCCCTCTTTTATTTCAAGTCACTACTACCATCCCTGTTGAAAGCATGAGTTTCTTGGTTTCTTGGTATTTCAAATTCCGTATGCTTGGGACTTAGGTAAGTGGATACTTAAGGAATTAATATTACTTTATTTAAATACATAAACTTGCTCACTCAGTCTCTACCCCATAGCCAGCTTTTCCTATCACTCTTATGTTCCACATTTCTATATATTATTTAAAACCCAGGCATTATTCTACTTGACTCCAAAAAGGCATGTAATTTCCTAAGTTAATCATACTTTCATTTATCTGGTTTCTCTTTTATAATAAATTATAAAGATAAGGTTCAATTTAACATTACTTAAAGTGTATGAATCTTCCCATGACATCACCCAGAAACTATGTATTTTGATTTTAGATAACAGGTCACCAAATGAGGTGGGGAATTAATTATATGATATGTCTTATATGTTCTTGTTGAATGCCTACGGTAATTTTTTCTACTTAAGAAAATGAGTTGCCTAGAGACAGATCATCCACTACCATAAACACAGTGACATATAGATATTTTATATTTGCAGATAAAACATTTAGGATAAGTATAACCCATGCAACATTTGAGACATACATACACTAAAAATGCATTTGTTGTTTGACTGACGTTACAATTGAACTTGATGCTCTTTCTTTTTATTTGCTAAGTCTGGCCACCCTAAGGCTATTAAAGTTAAAACTGTTTAAAATTAAATATAGTTAGAAAGTCAGATTGTTAGTTGCACCAACTCCATCAAGGACCCAAGAGTGGGGCACATGGGTCTGTAGACCTAGGACGGTCCCATCATTGCAGGGGGTCTATGGACAATACTGAGAAGTGCACCTGAAATCCCCAGACCAAAACTTAAGCAAGAAATATTTTTTAAAATAACCATGTTCGTCTAAAGATCTCTGGTGCAGCATTTTACCAGTTTTGAGATAAATGACACTAACACGACAATCCTAGACACAACTACTGCCAACAACGCTAGTAACAACGGCTGGCAATCTTGGATTCTTTCTGAATTGCAGATGCAGTGCTGAACGTCTTCACCACATTCTCATATCATTTTGATTAAAATTTGATGACATGGACGCTGTTATAATAACTGCATCTTATGGCTGTGAACACTGAAGCTTGCAGAAGTCCATTTACCATTCCCTCCATGAGGTTGCCAGGCTAGGATGCGCTGGCACCAGACAAGGTGTCTTGCTCCACAACCACACACCTCACCCGATACCGCCGAGAGGCTGAAAAGCTTCCACAGGCAAAACATAGGATTTTTACCCCATGTACTGACCAGCTTTACACTAGTAAATTTAAATTGCATGCCATTTCTGTTAACTTAGATGAATGGTAAATTTTACAGAAATACCAGAGATAGGGAAATATTTAACTATGTTTTGAACGGTATGAAATACCTTAGATACGCATGGCAAAGCTCTAGTCAATTGTTTTTAGGGTTTAAAGGAAAAACAGTGATGAAGCATGACAATTCTCAGGCAGCTATTCAACTAAGATGAAACAAAACCTCTTTTTTTCCTTCATAAGAAAAATCTTCCAGGGAAAAACGCAAAGGCAGCATTTCTGTCATTCTATATGCCCTGTCCAAGTGACCCTAGCTCCAAAGTCTGGGACCTGCTGCCTGAGAAACGGGTTAGAAATGTCAACCCAAATGAGGAATCTGCCTGGAGGATTCAGAGGTCAGAGGCAGAGGTAGGCAGAACGTGGCTCCTGGGTCTGCTGACGTAACTGCATCACCTAGTGAAAATGCCAAAAAGTGAGGCAGACAAGAATCTCCAAGTGGAGGTCATGAGTGAGGATGACAGTAATGAGGAGAAGCAGGAAGGTACATTTTAAATGGTGTAGAAGGACCAAATGACACAGAACAAGATGACTCAGCCTGAAAAGCCTAGAATTCTGTTGTCGCTGGACTGGGCAGGAAGGTTGCATAAGACAGCTTGCTTCCCCGGGAGCACTCTCTGTGATCCCCTTGAAAACGTCCAGAGAGAAGTCATCCTGCCAAGGTCACAGCAGTGCTGGACTTCTGCACGGGTTCCCCAGAGGCGGATATTCAGCTCCCTCCTCACCCCAGACAGTGCTGTGTCAGTCACCCTCCCCTCAGTCTCCACCCTTGGTCTACACTCCCCCTCCAGCTCTCATCTCACCTCCCTCCTTCCTCTTCCCTCCTCTGTCTTAATCAGTCCTACTGTAGGCTTTTTATGATGACAATTTTTTATAACTGATATAATCCATAATCTTTGACCACTCTTTGATTTAGGACCCAAGTAAATGAAGAATCACACTGGAATTGAATTTTTGCCACAGCTTTCTAATAAATGAAATTAAAACTACATTGATGCTAGGTTGACAATTAAAAGGAAAAATCCTTGGTCCTGTGGACTTCTGCCAAAATGGAAATTGAAGGGATGGCCATTTGAGCTTAAACTGAAACTCTAAAAATAATAATATTGAAAGATTTAATGTTAAAAAATCTGACATCAGAGTCATGACAGATAATTTCAAAAATAAATTTATTTTTTAGGATTTTTGAATTCTCCATGCAAAACAGGGAATGCAATAGTGGTGGAAAGAAAAATATTTTTTCTTTGAGAAGAAGTCTTCAGATTCTTGATATGTGTAAGTGAATGAGTTATGGCAATTCTGCAAACATTCCATGCCTGTCTCTTAAGTTGGTTTTATTGATTTCCTTCCATTTCCTTTTGCAAATTGAAGACACTATCAAAGGTCACATCTCATAAAGAACTGTACATATTCCATCATTTTAGTAATCAAACAATATAACTCCCCAAAGACATAACTAAATCTTGACTTGCACCTTTTTGGAAGCACTTATTTAATTTTAGCATTTGAGTAGGTAAAAGTAAGTAAAAACTATGCAAAGTTTAAGAAAGGAATTAAACACATTATTGATTGCCTTTTGCTGATATGTCAGCCGAGTTAGCGTAGCAAGTCTTAAACGTAAGCCTTAGTGTCCCGAGTTTACAGATGAAGAATGTGAGTGTACGGGAGTTCTAGGGATTGTTTCACAGGTGAGAAACAAAGGAAAAACTAAACTGAGATTCAAATTCAGTTCTGTTGTGTTCCTAAGTCCATGCTTGGCCCACTCTATTATGCTTTAAGGGTTAATGCAATCAAAGTTTCAAATGAGAATGCTCATAATTCAAGAAAAAGAGATTCAGTGCTTTGCCAAGAGCGAAAGGATGTAAATTAGGGAACATCATATTTTTAATATGCAGTTCACAGGTTCAACAGCATCTAAAAGTTTCCAGGACTTGACTTCCCCAAGGAGAATTCAATGTAGGACATTCCAAATGATAGCTTTTAAGTGTGTTTGTTCTGAAAAGCTAAAGTGGTTTTTGCATTGTCTCCTGGGGAATTAGTGAGTGATTTGAACTAAAGAAAGCGTTCCAAATTCAAGATATTTCGATTAAGCAGAGCAGAGCAACTGTTTGTGTTGAGAGTGCTCATCTTAAAGTTTAGAAAATAAAAAACTACACAGTGAATAATGGTACAGCCTCAGAGTAGAGTGGAGTGGTCACGGGTGAAACATCTTCTGGACTAGTCTGCCAAACGTGATCAGAGCGGACACTCTGAAGGAAGATGGGAGGGTGGGTGACTGATGCTACTCGGAAGGTGTCTCCGGCCACGGACCAAACGCTGCAGTCAAGAGGAAGAAGAAACGATGAGAAGGAAATTCAGTTATTTGGGTTATAAACACTCCTGGTAAATTTCCAACAGTCATGAAGAAGGTACACAAACAAGACGATGGTAAGAATATGGGTCATCCATGCATTCTTGCAGATATTTGGAAAATCTATTTAGTTTTACATAAACCTGAGCCAAGAATTCATTATCTGTTGTGGATTGACCTGTGTTGTCCAAAATTCACATGCTGAAGTCCTATGCTGAGTACCTCAGAATGTCCCTTGCACGGAAACAGGATCATTGCAAATGCAATTAGTCAAGTTAAGATGAGATCATTAGAGTGAACCCCTAGTCCAATATCTCTGGTGCCCTTACCAAAAGGAGAAATTTAGAGACACACACACATGAAGGAAACACCACGGGAAGATGAAGGCAGAGACTGGGGTGATACAGAGGCCAAGGAGTGCCGAAAATTGCCACTAGAAGAAGTTCGGGAGCGGCCTGGAGCAAATTCTCCCTCAGAGCCTCAGAAGGAACCAGCCTTGATCTCAGACTACTAGGCTCCAGAATGTGAGACAGTTTCCGCTGTGTAAGCCACCCCATTGGCGGTATTTTGCCATGGCTGCCCTGCGAGACCAATAAAGTAACCAAGGATGGATTTCCCACCTGGTTTTCTATACAGACTGCATCATATCATAAGAGTGGGACCCACATGCACTTTGCATCTGAGATCAAAACCGGAGTAAAATGAAGAGCTCATCTTCTGTCTCACATGAATCAGAGTTCCGTTTTTCTTATTAACACAAATTTTTCAAAGTCAAAAAACATAGCAACAAATTAACAATGGAATATTGGGAAAGGCAAGTATCTGAAATCTATTTATAATCTATTAAATCTATTTATTTATTCTCACATATTTCATATGAATGGTATGCTTTGTTGGATGGTGTGTGATGTATTTCACAGATGCAAAAAAATGATATATGACTAAAACAAACATACGCAAAGAAAGTCTGGGCAAGATTTGGTAAAAATGTATGTTTCTTAAAAAAACTTAAACCCCTCCTTTATTTTGTGGGTAAACTGAAGACAGGGCTACATCATATTTATCTTTTTTATCTTCACTTACAGGCATGGTTTTTAGCACATTATACATGGACAACAACTGTTCCTCAAGCTTGTAAATAAATGAAGCAAAATAAAATCTTAAGGACAACTGAGCAAACTTGCATAAAAAAGAGGGGAGATTCATTGAGATTTATAGATAATTCACATTATTTAAAATAATT